AAGAGTGGACCGCGTGACAGGCCACAACAATACAGCCAACAACTCCCATCTTAGTCACTCATGCCTTAAAAGTTTAAATCATACTCCGACACTTCATGATAAGCTGCTTAGAAAGTATACCATTCATACCCAAGAACTCCTGAAAGACACCTGCCCAATATTGCACACCATTAAATTTTCAGGTCACTATAGGACATGCCATTTTTTATGTAGGCTACACACTCTCTGTCCTCCACCGGCCTACACCCCTGTCCTAGATCTAGAGCTATCACTGAATCGGAAACATCAGCAACGCCAAGCCCTGCTTGATATGCTCCATCATCTCTGAGGAAAATACATCCTGTCTGTGTTCATGTTCTCTTCAGCACTGATAGATAACTGTTCTCTAAGCAGGCTAGCAGACATACATTGCATTTCTGGGTAGAAAGGAAAGCTATACAGAGATTCGGACCACTAGCATGTGGGGTGTAGTGGTCTTAATGCCAGTTGAAAGCACTGACAAATTTACAGCATCCGTACTACACAAGCTGTAAATGATAATGACCTGGTATTTCCTGGATATCCCTGCACGAACTCAGAAATTGGACTAAGAGGGGAAACTGGGCCACAAAGGGAACATGTTTGGCCACTGGAATGCAGCAGCAAAGCAAGCAAATTGTATCTATCTTCAGGATTACATGCTGGGCTAAACATCTGTGATGCCACAGAATTAAAGTGTTTTGTGCTGTTGTAATGTTCTTTGTTGACTAAATGAGTCTAAGAATAAAGTAAACTTATGTAGTCGTACCAATCTCATGTTATTAATACATCATTCTCAAATTAATATGCATACCTCAAAATAATTATGCTCTTGTAACTTTGAGAGGATTTGCATATGATGTTCATTGCTGTTCAATGTCAGAACAAAAAGGAAGATATTGAAATAACACAAAACATCTCAACTAACAGAAATATAAAATAAATCTGCAAATCATGCTGAATTACAAACAAGAAAGATGCCAAAACGTGTATAGTTACATTCAAATGTATTTTAATTTGTCAATTCTGGAATTTTCTGCAGATAAGCCTCATGGCTACCAATTTCTCCACCTGCTTCCCCCTTTTTTTCTTCTCCAGCTGCTTTCTCCAACCCAGGAAAAACATTCCTGCATTCCTCCTTTTGGGGGCAGGGGGAAGTCCTGAGAAGGCAGATCATACTGGGAAGCTGGGAAGTGTAGCCTGTCTCTTGAAAGAATGTGCAAGAACATCCCAGTGCCCACAGTGCTACCTTACACCCTAGCTTTTCTTAGGTTCCCAAGCACAATCCTCCTATAGCCTACCCATATCAGAAGGGTTATAAAGCAGGGGAGTACAGAGGGGAGACTGAAATCTTTACTCCCTGCCCCTAAAACATCACGAAAATCCTTTATCCAAGAAATGTAACAGTACATTAATACTTAAAAGTGGTAGCCAGATAATTATGAAACTATCATCTCTGCAGAAAATTTTAATAGTGTGATTCATTACTAATGCAGAGCAGCTGGGACATTCAGAAGACATCCAATTAGTCTGCTCAGTGAGCAAGTTTACAAATATAAGGGATTTATTTTGTTTCTGGGACAATACTTCTGAAAGTTTTATTTGAACTGAATCATTAGGGAGATGTATAACTATTTGTATGCAAGCCCAAGAAACATACCTTCCACTAATCATTTTCTAAGCATATTAATGTTATTTAATTAATTTTATTTGTATATTTGGGGATTACTTTGGTACTTTCCAAAAACTGCAACATGGCTATCAAAGGACTATAACTTTTCTTTAGCTGCTCATATAGTAACTGGTTGCACACAAAGCTCTAGGTAAAATAAATTTGAATTAAAAGAAAAATTACAATCCCTTTATTTACAGAAATGTTAATTAAACCACTTTCAGAATTCTGATTCAGCTTACCAAAAAAGAAATAGTAGGACACTGAATGAACTTACATTTTGATTTCCTGACAAATTAAAAAAAGAAATCACCTTAAAGAACTGAGGCTTGTATTCTGTATTCTAACAGTTAAACTTTAAACTGCTTTGCTACTTACCAAACCCTCACTGGGCATAATGCTGGTGAGATGAACTACCTCAAGATGTGCTGACTGTGACACCAGAGAATCAGATGAGAGCGAAATGATGTGGTCACAAATCCCAGACAAGGTTTTACACTACAAAGAAAAACAAGTCAATATAATTCCTCATATTAAACTGAAACTAGTAGCAAAGGAGTTCTTATTCTGAGAACTACCTGAGAATAAACAGATAATTTTATTTCTTAGCATTGTAAAAACTACAGGTATATGAAAGTCAAGAACAAGAGGTTAAAAGAACAGAAGATAGCCATAAATGTCAAGAAAATGTACATGCACGCACAGTTCTTCTGATCAGATTTTACTGTGCACTGAGAACGTCTGTAATCTAAACTAGGCTACCTTCTCCACTCCAACTATATGCACTTTCAAAAAAACCCAAAACCAAACTGATGAACTTCATCTTATCTGTCATTATAATGTACCATTATATACACAATGGAAATCAAGTGAAGTATGTAAAAAATAAACGCCTTATACACCAACTTAATAAGCTATTTTGGCTACCAAATAATGATAGCAACCCTACCAACAGTGATAATTAGGCGAATTCTGCATTATACAACTTAGAAGATTTTTCCTTTGTTAAAAATTACTCTGGCAGAAAAGTGCCTTAGTTAATCCATTTCCTGGAGTAAAACTCTTATGCATCTTTGAACACATCCTTTAACTGATATTTTAGATCACTACAACTATGCAATAATTTTATGTTATCCTACCTTCCAGCTAAAGATCTCAAAATCTTAATGCCAATCCACACGCGCACCTTCCAAGTAGGAACCCCACGGCATAGATGGTAACAGTGATACTGACGGATTAAACCTATCCATCAAAGGCAAGCAGTAAGTCTACGGATCAGAAAGGAGCTGATCTGTGCTCTCTGAGAATCTTCATGTGTAAAGATTTATTCCCAAGTTTGTGTGTGGCGCTTAAAGCATTCCTTCAAAAAGACTATGCCTAAAAATATTTGAATCTAATCTGAAAGCATTCATTTAGATGAATTTTAGGATGGTCTTCTGGTCAAAGTTGTGCTGCGTGCATCTATTTTTCTTTGGGGATTATACTCTCATGTTCCCTAATAATAGCAAATGCTAGTGAATTCCCTTAAGGGAAGGTTTTTTTCATTTGCAAAAGCATGAGGATTTCTAATATCTCATTTGACACTATACATATAAGTTGAAAAAATAAAGTTGTCACAATGAATAAATTAACTGGCTGAATTTATAGCTTATGTTTCCATCCACTGTATAGTTAGTCATCTGGAAATATGAGCACCGCTCTGGAGCACTGGATGCGGCATTTGTAGTTTTTATCAGCTGAAAGACGCCAAGCATCCCATTCAGGTATGCGTGACTGCATCTAAAGGTCACCAAAACCCAGAAACATTTCTAGCAATTTCAGCTTTGGGCCAGAACCCCTAAAAAACCACTTTAGGTCTTGTCTTCTCCCACCAGAGATATGGCAACTGGCATGCTCAAAAAAAATATTGTACTGCTGTTCTACATACGAACTGATGGCTGACTGTCTATGAGCATACGTTTTCATCTAGCTTTTGAATTACTGTCATATCAAAATATTACTATGATTTCAAACTGACGTCCTCTCTTATGCCTTAACATTTAAGACCGTATGTACAGATTAGTTACAGACTACATCCCAGACACAACAATTTCTACTTTCTGATGTCATGTTAACTTTACAGTTGTCACATGCAAATACTTTTTCAGTAAATAAACTTTGGAATGAAATACACAGCACAGAAGTTTTCAATCAAATTTACTCTTACGAATCTTTTAAGATCTCCCCATGATTCAGAAAGTTAATTAAAGTCTATCTAGGGTTTTAACACCAGGAAAATATTAAAGAAAATTATATTGGAATAATTAAAAATATCAGTTTGCTCTAAAAGTAGTTCAGCAGATACAGGAGGCCTGATACCAGTTGTAAATAATGCAAAGGCTGAGACAGTATAAATGGGAGCAACTGAGCAGAATTTATGAATAATAGAACAGGGTCAGGAAGCAATGTTTGATATGGCACTATCAACATGAGATGATACTTTAACATATGCTAAAAGTATTCTTGACATAAAAAACCAGAAAGGACCAAAGTCTTGCACACTAGTTCCTACTAGTTCCAAAACCGCAGGGAAGCAAAGTGCATACTCTCCAGATGGTGTGATACTACCGCACTTAAGAAAAACTCTAACAAAAATGGGTTCTTCAAGAAGTTCAGTACCCGTTGCAGAACACTGCTTACAGTTTTACAGGCTGTCCAACACCCAAACCCATTTATTACAATTCTCTCAATGGGCCACGACAAGAACAAGATCTCTATGAAACCACTAAGTCTTGAACAAGTCATACAAACTTATATGTCCCAAAAAGTGTTTTTAGTATGGCAGCCATTGCTGGGTCTGTAGAATGAATGTTAAGTTAATAATCTGTATTTATTGCTGAGAGAAAGAACAAGTAACAGGTTGTAATTTTTAATTAGCATAGGTATACTGTATTAATCTAAAGAACTGACGCAGTCCTGATGATAACCACATTTTGCTTAATAGATAATAAAAAAAGAAACTTGACTCTCAGACATGTACTTTAAGTGACCCTGAAAATCGCTGCTTCATAATTTATCTTTTCCCATAATAGCCGAGTTGCAGAGTAGACGCAGTTTAGGCATATGCCTGGTGAGGGAATGGCAACTGTGCACCTGCAATCACATCATCTGAGCACGCGCTGCCCTAGTGTGGAGCTCTTCCAAACAAATCTACACCGCAGTGAATCTCTCCAGTAACCAAAGTATAAAGTCAACCATGGATCATCATTTTATAAATCTGTCTTTACTCCTAAGTATATATTTCTTAATATCTTTCAGAAAGAAAACAAAACTCCATGGGGTGTTTAAGAGCTAGAGATTCTCTCTTACAAATGTAAAATTTTACTTTAGAGCATCACAATTGTTTTTCTTATTTTCTTTAATTTAATTTTATTTTTGTAAATGAAGTGACCATAAAAGAAATGAACAATTTATAGAGCTTATTCTTGAATTCAGTACCCTTGAAGTAATTTTTTTTTTTTTAAGACACTGTGAGAAAGGTGTTGATTCTCACTTCACCCAGAGTTACAATGATAAATAGATTGATTCTCAGGGCCTGGATGCTCTGGATCTGGTAGTGTCAGGTGATTTTGCTCAGGCTAAGATGAGTTCTACTGCCTTGGGATCCAGGCTCTTTAAGGTTCATCACGCTTTCACTGCT